GAGGCGCGGTCCGGCCGGCCGAGACGTCAGCCATCTCTCAGGTACTGCGGTCGCGGTCTCAGAGGGGCAGCCAGGTCGGCCCGGAGCCCGTTGGGTGGTTGGGGGTATGTTGACAGGCGCTCTGTTGTTTGGTTGTTTTGTCATCGACCTTCGGACCATCATCCCTTCATCTAGCCATCTCCAAGTCCCCCATCTGTGCCCTGCCCTGGGTGCTGAAGCCACAGAGGGTGGGGAGAGCCCCCTGGTGCCGGAGGAGGGGTCCTTTACCCCCGCCTTACTCTGTCGTTTTCTTTATTTGGGTCCACACAAGTACTGCCCCACTTCAGCGACCCAAAGGGCCCACCCTGCAGGGCTGCAAAATCCTCAATCTTGGGGCACCCTTTGGAATTTCACGACTGCTTGGGCCCCTGTGTGCCAAAACCTGGTCTGAATCAGTTCATGCAGACATGGGGCCTAGGTTTGAATCCCAGTTCCATCACTTCTTGGGTGGGCAGTTTATTTCTCTGAGCCTCGGTCTATCCAGCTGCCAAACTGGGGTTCCAGGACTGTCTCAGAGCCCTGGTGAGGATTCGATGAGAGAATATGCAGTCCCAGACAGTGTCATTGGACACGGCCCCTTGGAGGGTTTTCCACTGTACCTCCTGCAGACTCGCCTTACGAGTGAGAACTCGGGTCTCAGAACTTCACCTGAGAAAATGCTTTGCACCTTGCCGAGTATTTTCTGGGAGCTCAGGCAAAACCGACAGTGAGTGCTGTCAGCAGAGGAGAGCGGGATGCAGCAGGTCACAAGCTGGAGCCTTACCCAGGCTTCTCCCGACGGCCAGTGTTCAGACTCTGAGCCCTCACTCCCGTCGGTCTGCAGCTCCCTCTGTGAGAAGTTATCCTGGGAGTCCTTCCCTCAACACTCAGGGCATAAAGGGAGTGTGGGCTGCAGTTGGGGACCCAAACAGGAGCCACTTTCTGCCACATTGGCATTAATCTGGTGTCCCTTTTTCAACAAGGCAAAAGGAGAGGGAGGAAGGGCAAGTGGGCCTTCCTGACTCCTGCTCCTGGGACCCCTCAGAAACTCATGGGGCAGGAGCCTTTTCACTGTGCCTAGAACCACACGACCCCTCTAGGCCCAGGGCCACCATGTCACCTTTCACACTGAGCACCCACTGCAGGTGCAGAGCTGCTGGGCATTCCTAACAAGGCTGAGGCCTCTCCCTACCCTCTTTGGGGCTATGACAGGGTCAGGGCATGGCCGGGATACAGCAGACTCAAAACGGGCCACAGAGCCAACAAAGGTGCCAGGTGGAAGCGGGACAGAGCAGTGTGGAAGGGTGGGGGCCTGGGGCCAGCACTACAGAGGAGCTGACTGTGTGTGCAATTTGAAGGGTGAGAACTCAGGGTTGGGGGCCGGGTTCCCCAGCGGGGGCAGCTGCAGGTTCAGGGGTCAGCGAGCCAGGGTGGGAGGTCAGCCCTGGGAAAGCACTGGGCGGCATTGGAGAGAGGGCTTTGCATCCCGTGCAGGACTGGGTGTGGGAAGCTGGTGTAGGCTGTGCAGGGTGACAGGGAGGCTGCTGTGTCACCCAGGCAGTGGTGATGGTGGCCCAGGCGTGGATGGGGTTGGCAGGTGAGCTCAGGGAAATAGAATTTATGGACTCACTAATAGGCAGTGGGGTCAGGGGGCAGATGAAGAGAGTCGGGCTTGGGGCTTTCTCCTGGGCCAGTGGTGGCACCATTGACCCAGAGGACGCTGGGGGAGCAGTTAGGATGGGTCCCGGTGACAGGGTAGACACCCCAGCGTGACTTGGGGGGGATGGTGACACTGCAGAGCCCTTCCCCAGAACAGCATGCTCCCGGGCGCGTGACAGCCGTCCACGGCAGAGTGGGTCTGGGCTTTCCAGAGTTAGCTCAGCGGTGAGCTTAGCCTTGTGTACAGAAGGTCACCCCGGCAACTGATCGCAGGTGGAGGACTGAGAACTGAGCCGGTGCAGCCTGGGCCGAGGCGGGCAGGGCAGGGCAGGGGGATCAGTGTGAGGGACGGTCCTCCATGTCAGCACGCGCAGCAGGGCCAGGCGGGTGTGACAGGGCTCTGTCGCCTTCAGGAGCTGGGTAGGTGCAAAGTTGGGAGTGCATGCGTGGGCCACCTGGCCCCACCCAGCGTCCGGGCCTCCCTGCCGTGTTAACTGAGCTCTTCCTTTCTCCCTTCCTGCCCCAAGGATTTGGAAGGGGTGCCACCCTCTAAAAAGATGAAACTGGAGGCCTCTCAGCAAAACCCCGAGGAGATGTAGACACGAAGCCCAGCCCTGTGGTCTGTGTCGTGGAAGGCCGTGGCACGCTTCCTTCTAGAACCACGTGGCCCAAGCGAGCCCTCCCGGGTGCGAACAGAACTCCTACCGTGTCCAGTTTACCAAGTGCAAATCCAAGAACACCCAGAACGGCGTCGCTTCTCAGACGCCGAAGAACTCTGCTGTGAAGCAAAATACTCGAACCTTTACACGACTGTCCCCGGGAGGCCACCGCGGCCCAGGGGCGTCCGCGCACCGTCTCGGAAGCCAGGAGCACATTGGCGTCGCTGCTGTGTCCCCACTTCTCTGTTTAATAAGCTGTCGAGGGCGGCTCCGATCAGGCGCTCCCTGTTCTTTGGGGCTTCTCGCTGTTCCACAGATTCCTTCCGCTTTCTTTTTTGTGCCTTGTGCCCTCGAGGTGCCCTCTGGCATGTCCCTGGTTGTTTTGCATCTCCCTTTGCGAAGTGCCCTCTTGGTTCTGTCTGGTGGTGCCAGGTGTCACAGACTCCCTTCTCTCCTCCCTGCTGGGGACTTCATGAGGGCAGGCGGGGCCGAGTGGGGAGCCCCGGCTGCAGACCAGCGGGAGCTCAGGGGCTGCTTGGCTTTCCCCTACGTGGGGCTTGGGCACAGCCTGAGCTCTTGGGGGTCAGTCCCAGCCCCCAGGCCCGAGGAGTTGTGGGCATCGGGGCACAGGCCCCAAGGGCTGGCCTCATGGGTCCCAGCCGGACCCTCCGTATGCCCTCACCCCCCTGGAGCATTCGAGGCTGCTTGTTCGTAAGCCCCTACAGCCCGATGGACGCGCAAAACCCTTAGATTTTTCTAGCACTTCCACCCCCCCCCACATCACCACCGCCTCCTCCAGCAGCGTTTTCTCCCAGCCCTCCGAAGACGGAGTGGTCTCTCTGGCCCACCGCAACTATCTCCTTCCGGCAGATCCGGGCCGCGAGGCTGGGCGTCGGGGCAGAGGTAGTTGGTGCTGAACTTGGCACGTAGGACGTTGCTGGATTCCAGCCAGCAGCCCTCTGCCTGCCCCGCCCCCTGGCCCCTCCTCCGGAGCGGCGGGATCACAGTGGCTGAGCTGCATCGCGTCGGAATCACGCTGACTCAGTGCCAGCTATGGACTGAGTCATCCCCAGGACGCGGTCGCCTCCACCCGGAGCGGGCCTTGGTGTTTGGGCCTCGAAGGCCGGAAACGAGGCACCCGGAATCGGCGAGATTTGCACCCTCCAGGAAGGAGTGCCCGACTGTCTGCTCCCCTCCACCCCTTTGTCTCCCCTGGAGCTGCCCCGTGGACGGATGCCCGCTCGTGTGCTCTTGAGGCAGGGGCTGCTCTCACCCAATAGCCGGGTCCGGACCGCGACCTTTCCTGAGCTTCCTCTATTGCACTGGAGTTTTCTCCCTTGGAGTTGTGTTCTCGGGGGTGGGGGGAGGGTTCTGTTGGGGTTTTTTTGTTGTTGTTTTTTGTTTGTTTTTGGCTAATCGGTGCATATTCAGGTACCACCTTCCACCTGTGGCTCTTTCTCCCGACCACCGTGGGAAGCGTCTGCCAGATTCCATTTTCAAAGAGTTCCTGAGGGTGAGGCTCTTATTATTATTATTATTATTATTATTATTTTTCGAAGGGGACCTATCTTCCTGCACTTCACGAAGAATCAAAATGTTCCTGAATTTCAAATACCTCATGCAAAATATCTCCTGAAATAAGGGAAGAAGAAAAAAAGAAAAAAAACTTTGAAAATCTTAATGTTGAAGTTAGCAATGCCGAAAGGTTTCTGTCTTAAAAAAAAGAAATCCTTGTACTTCTCGGTTTCGCCCCTCAGGCAGGCAGTTCCCGGCACCTGTGCCCCGCGCCGCAGGCGCAGCCAGGAGCGAACCTCTCATAGATCTGGGGCGGCTTGCCCCCACACCCGGCGGTTAGGGCCATGTGTTTCTTTGTGGCGAAAGTCCATTCTGGTGACAGATGAATTTGGATATTTATTTTCTTTTCTCTTCTGGGAACCGAGAGGTTACAACCAAGACAGCTGAAGGAGAATCCAACGCGCATCCAGGGAACCAGAAAGGCCTCGAGGGTTGCCCGCGCCTCTTCTGTCCGGGGGCAGCCTCTCCGGACAGGCAGGGGGACTCGAGGGTGAACACGATGTCCATGGGACCGAGGCTGTCATTAGTTTTTCTCTGAAGTGCCTGAAGGGAGGAATGGGCCAGAAGGTGGGACCACTGGGCCCCCCCGCGGCCACGCCAGGCAAAAGGCCAGCAGCCCTGCACGCGACGCCGGCCGAGAAGGCCTTCCACGCGGAACCACGAGACTGCAGAAATCCAATGTGCTTCCTGCCCCACGCAGCCCGCTCCTCGGGGCGCTGCTCTGCTCGCCCTGTACCCCTCGTCCTCCTCCAGGCCAAGAATCTAAGACCTTCCAGCCACCAAGCCAGGGGCGGGGGGTTCGAAGCGCATGCCTTCCGTGGACATCAGGCCCCGTGGCCTCAAGGGCTCCTGGGGCAAACTTCATTACTTAATTCCCCCCAAACTCGAAGCCGGGGAAACTGCGGGTCCACATTCCACAAAGTGCTGGCACTTAGACACCCACAACCTGGAAGGCTAGTGACTGAGCCGTGCAGGGGGGCGGCCCCCGCGATCACACGGTGTCATGGTTTGGAATGTTCATTCTTGCGAGGACCTGGTTAGAGGTATAAAGACCTTTTTCCACCGTTACCTAATTTTTTTCCTCTTTTTTTTTTTGGTGTGTCGTACAGCAGGTATAATTTTTCACTTATTTATTCCATCCGTAGATATGGTTTGTACAATGTACAATGGTTCTATTTCCGAAAATAAAAAATGAAATCATGCGGACGCCGTGGCTTTGTCGTGTCATGATAAAGGTAATGGCTTTCTTAGAGGGGGACGTCCCTCACCGCCCGGACCTCGTCTGCGTGGCTCTGGCCCTGGCTAGGCGGGACGCTGTGAGCACCTCGTTCAAGGCACTGCTGTCGCTTGTGGTCATGGTAGCTGCCGTTACTGAGCCCCAGCTGGTGCCAGGCAGGCTGCAAGACGCTCCTTCCCGTGGACAGGTAAGGAAATAGCAGGCCTGTCCCGTGCCCGGCTCGCAGAGCCAGAGCCCCAGTTTAAAAGCCACACCTGGGGCCTTGTGGCGCAGCAGTAAATGCAGTGCTCTGAGGCAGCCCCACGTGGAGGTTCTGGATTCAAGTCTGGAGACCTCCCTGCGGACACCAGGGGTACACTCCCCCGTGATCTGCGGGGACTTAGGCTGGGGGGGATCCTGGCTTCAGGACCCCACTGGGGGCTCACTCTCTCTGGAGAATGTGTGTGTGTGTGTATAAACTCTCTTTTTAAAAGAATTATTTGTAATTATTATTACTTTTTAAATTTAACCATAGAAATAGAAAGTAAGAAAACAAGCTGCTGGGTCCAGGACCCGAACTGCAGTCGGCCATGTGAGAGTCTGGCATTTCACCTACCATGCTACCTGCTGGCCCCAAGGGCTTATTATAGGGCCAGCCAGAGGCGTGGTTAAGACAGCTGGATCCCCAGGGACCAGCAGTTAGCATCATGGCTATGTCTCTGGACTCCCATGTAGTTGACCACAGTTCGAGTCCCGGGCCCGGTGGCTTAAACTCACGCTGGGTACGTGTGCGTGCGTGCCCAAGATCCCAAGAGAATGGAAGAGAAGGGATTGCGGCGTGGCTGTTCTCCTGGGCGGTGATTTCTCACTTTCTGTCTCTGTCTCTCTGTCTTTCTGGTGAGTGCACATGCCCTATAGCAAAAACCTCTCCTAAATAAATAAATAAAGACAGCTGGATCCCATAGGGCTGACCTGGAGGCTCGTGTCCTAGACCCAGCAGCTTGAAAAACAAAGCAGGCGTGTGTGCCCAAAATCCTAAAAAGGGAGAAGTGGAGAAGGGGTTGCAGTGGCCATCCCTGGGGCGCCTTCTCACTTTCCCTTTCTCTCCGTCTCTCCAGCGAGTGCATGCACCCTCTGACAAATTGTGTAAAACAATAAAAGACCTTGTTGGGGGAGTGCCTGACTGTCTCTGCCTCTCTCTCTTTCTCCCACTCCTGGAAGAAATAAATACATTTTAAAAAGCTACGCCTCACCTGACCCATCACCACTAGCCAGGGTCTGAGCAGAGCTGCAGGTCTGCCGCTTTCCTGGGAGGCACTAGCTCCGGTGGGAACTGGGGAACCAGCCGCAACAGTGTTGCAACCTTGTCTAGACTTGTATGACGGGCACCTCGTGGTCAGGATGGAGCTGGAACTTTCTCAGGCCCTTCCCTCTGAATGGACATGTCACCCTGCGCCCAGTGGCCACCTGAAAGGGGCAGGGTGCCCACTCAACAGGGCTGGGCCAGGACTCCCCGTGCTGACCTGGGGACAGAGGTTCTCTTGGTTAGGTCTGACTCCCCTCCCACCTCCTTCCTTTTTTTCCCCCCAGGTTTTTGCCAAAGGGCATGTGCACTTGGTGGAGAGAGACAGAGACAATGAGGGAGAAAGTGAGAAATCACCCCCTGGGGGGAGGATGGCCACACCACAGTCCCTTCGCCATTCTCCTGGGATTGTGGGCACGCATGCACACATGCCCGGTGTGAGTTTCAGGGTGCCAGGTCCAGGACTTGAACTGCCGTTGACCATGTGGGAGTCCAGCACCTTAAACACTACGCCACCTGCTGGCCCCCTTGTTCCTTTTTACCGAGTTCCAGTGTTTGTACTAGAATCGGCTGCTCCGCTAAATCTGCTCTAGACAGCGGCGGGTCCAGCAGAGGAACCACACGGCGCGATCACTGCTCAGCACAGGGGGCCTCACTGGCTCTGTCCTCCCTGCGCCAGGGCTTGGGTCCTGTCCCAGGCTCTTCTGTGGACCCTGCCCTTCCTCTCCGCCACCTTGCTTCCAGCCCCCGCATTTTGATGGCTGGGCCAGGGAAGCTTCTAGGATGGTGAAAGAACCTGGTTTTCTTGACACGGAGTGGCTGTGGCTTTCTGCTAGGGCTCTGTGGGAATAGGCAGGTGTTGCCAGTGAACAGAATGGAAACAGTCGGAAACAGACTGGAGGGTGGGGCGGGGGAGTAGGACAGAAGCCCAGCAGGTGGCCAGCAGCTGCCAAGAGGGCCTGTGTGCCTCCAGGTGAGAAGCGACCAGGACCACAGCAGGTGGGCTGGGGCAGGTTGGCAGAGGCAACGCAGGTCCAGATCTGAGTCCATGCCAGGCCCACACATATCATGGAGGTCGGTGGTGGAGCGCAGGGCTGACTGCAGACCCAGAAGGCCAAGTCTAACTCCCGGCTCCTGCCCGGCTGCCCGGTGGGCCTGTACCCCAGGGGCTTGCAGGCAGCAGCTGGCTTTGTCTATCCAGTTGCAGTCCCTTCTTTCTCCAGTAGGGGGTCACCCTCCCTCGTTCAGTTCTTACGTGGGGCTGGCGCTGCTCCCAGAAGGGCATGTGACCCAGACCTGTCCAATCAGTGAGGTCCCTCCTGCCGACTACTGCCATTGGTTCAGGGCTGAGCACATGACCCTGAGAGACCCAATGAGAGTCAACCTGGGATTTCGGGGGAACCCACTTGGTTCCAGGTTGGCCGAAGCTCTTCTGAGAATGACGCCAATGCAAGAAAGAGCCGGATGGACGTGAGTGTGAGCTCCCGAGGGCACCCGGGAGCCGTGGGCGCAGGCAGGCCGTGACCCAGGCCTCCCCTTGCCATTTCGGTTTTGTGAGCCACGAAGTCTCCATGGTTTAGGCTGGAGCTGTCCCCGGGGAGCCCCACCCCTCCACCCCAGGGCTGGAGTGGCTCCTTGACAAAGCCGGGGCCCTCCACGTGGCAGCCCATGTGGGAGCTCCAGCTTGGAGGGAGCGGCCGCCCTTCTCCGAACTGCACCCCCCTTCCCCCCCTTATGCTCTGACATGACCGGGGCTTGGGAGTTTCACGGCAGCGGACAAAGAAAAGAACGGGTTCAGTGGCCCCGTCCTGGGCCACTGGGCAGCCCCTTCTGTAACCCCCGGTGTCTCGCGCCCTACCCCTCCAGATCACCGTGACTTTACGCTAGTATCTAAACCGCTCTGTGCTCCGGTGTCCTCATCTGCAACGTGGGGAGAAGAAACGTGTCAATGAATTATCGCACGGAAGGTGCTGGGGCTAGAGCTGGCACAGAGTAAGTCTCCCGTGTTAGCTGCTGTGTTTATTGTTGGGGTCCAGCGCCAGTGACAGCGTGAGCCCAGGAAAGGGGAGGAACTGCCCCACCTGGCTGCCTGGGGCTTGCCCTCTGGGTTACACTTCGCTCTCTGAAGACCTGTTTTTTTGCCCAAATAAATGGAATTACCATCCAGTGGGCCCGAGATGATCCTTGGCCCTAGTCAGGCCTTGTGGGTTGAGTAGAAGCCCTCCAGGAAACCCACAAGGGAGGCCATTCGTGGCGGAGGAAGGGCCTGGGCAGGGGGCTGGAGGTCAGACAGCACATCCCTGTCCCAGGCATGTCTGCTCAGGAAGCAGGCCCAGGCAGGCCCTGGGCCTCGAGCAGACCCATCACAGTCTCATTTGTTCCA